AACCAATCCTTAAGGGGGGATTATTATTATTTATTTATTTTGTCATTTTACTCTGCCCTAATACATACATTATAGTATAACAGTATGGATTTTCTATGCCTACCCCAGCTCCTAAATAATGACTTGGAGACTTATTATTTTTATTAATAGCTTATGGCACTAAGCTGGGCAGATTCAGAGCTATTCTAACCTGGCAATACTGGCCAGGCCTACATCCCAACCACATGGCTTATTACCTGTCCTTCCTAGTCACATCCTGACACCTGCTCCTTCATCTGTGTAAGAACTTCTGTAAGAAGTTGGTGACTTCTTGCGACTGATTCTTTCTCAGAGTTTCTAATTCTCTGGAAGTTCTCCTATTTTCTCCTGCTTTGCTATAGGCTGATGGAGAAGATATTTACAAAGCACTGAGACAAGTGACACTTCATGAAAACACTCAAGTCCAGCCTGTTCTCGACTCTCTACCTTACGTAAACCAGCACCGAACACTACAAAGACAACCTTTACACAGTTACAAGAGACTATCCCGACACTATAGCCCGATACATTTTACAAAATAAACCACCACATAACTGATATGTAGATAGAACACTCTTAGCACAGGAGGCTCCTTTCTGGTCAGTAGCACCTTAAAGGGCTATCTATCTTCATTGTCTGGATATATTTTTGTTGTTGAATTTCTATGTAAACATATTCATACTAAACTCTATAAACACTGGATTTTAACCTCTGATTCATGCAAAGGACACTGTAGTCTAGACACTGAGTTTTACTCACCCTTTATCTAAATTTCTGATTCATAAACAAGGCAATATGTCATTGAATTTCTCATATAAGAAGTTTAAATAATAAAAATTTAAAAGTTGCTGGAGAGAGGGGATGGGAGGGAAAGGGATCTGAAGGTGGGACTAGGAAAGGAGAGAGGTGGCTGGGATCAGGCTTTAAAATGATTAAATAAATAAATGAATACAAAAAAGTTGCTTCAATACCACACTGCACTAAGCTGTTATCTAGGTTGCTTTATCTGCCAAGAGAACAGTTTCCTAGGAAGTCCCAACAATGTTCTACTTCGATTAAGTTTCCTACTTCCTATCCCATACATTCTGTTAGTCACTTAAGATATTGATTAGCCAACGCAAAATGTAGTAATTCTTTAATTTGCTTGGAGGCAAGAAGATGATATTCCCATCTTTGACCTTTAGGATGTCAAACAACTATACATAGTTATTCTAACTGCCAGTCAAATTCTCGCATAGAATGGGAAGGGGTTCACAAGCTATACACAGTGGATGACTTCTAGTAAAGATTCAATTTTAAGGATGTTTCCACATCCTTATGTTAACCACAATAGAGAAGACGGCCTCACATGGACAGCACAAATTGGAGTGGGTAAGATAGTGGAGAATAAACCAAAAAAAGGAAAAAGAAAAAAAGAGGACACAGAGTTGCTGAAAGGAATGCAAGGAATTGGTGTGGATTTGGGGGGTATCAAGGTGAGAAGTGGGGAGTGGATATGATTCAATACATTGTATAAAATTCTCAAAAAGCAACAAAAAAGTGGTTTTATATAAAGTAAGAAGGGGGAAAAGGTTGGAGAAGAAAATGTGCAAATATGAGACCAGTCAAAGCCATCCTGAGAATAAGTGGACATAGTAACAAACATGGACAGACCAGAAGTATTCAGAAGTAGTATGCAAAGGACTTCCTTATATGTCCAATTTGGGAGTGAAGGAAGAGAAGCATTTAGGTTAGAGGTTGTTGAGTTTTTCTAACAACTTAAACAGTTGTCAAAAGTTCTCAGATTCATGATCAGGGAATTTGTCTTCCCAGGTTTAGGGTATAGTGATCTTAGACATAAGAATTTTAAAAGAAGCTCCACTTATTCTAATGGTCCTAGACTGTAAGCTTTAGGGGGGCTCTCAAATTTGAAGAATTTTCAAGTTTCTGCTTTCTATAAGAGAGTACGAAGCTGGGATGGGGGAACTATTTACAGAAAAAGTAAATGTTGAAGAAAAAGAAAGGTCATGAATGAGCTTGTTTCTCAGAGCCCTGTCGGGGTGGATACATGGTAGATGGTGAGCCATATTTGCCTAGAAAATGTGGCATTTAGTCTGTGGAATAACAGTACTCCAGGGCTACCCAAATGGCCTATTTGAAAGAGCTCATTTATCATACACTGCATTTTCCCTGCAAACATTTCAAGCTGGTGAATATGTGTAGGGCCAGCTACTAGAGAAACTGAGGCAGGAGGACCTGCTTGCTCCTGAGGGTTAGAAACTAGCCTAGACAATAAGATTTTCTTTAAACAACAAAATAAATAGTATGATCCCATGTACAGCACTGAAAGGTGGATCCTTCCAAGCACACATCTACCCTGATGCTGGTGCCGGCTGTGCCCCTAAGGGTACCACCTATGTTCTTGATCTACTACGCCATGTTAGTCCTAGTATTCACAATACTCAGATCTATATATATGTTACCTAAAACTGTATCTGCATCCTTCCTTTTTTTTTTTTTTTAAAGCAGTTTTAGGTTTATTGCAAAACTGAGATGTAGGCACAGATCTTCTGAGACCCTTCTCTTTGCAAAGAACTTCTTTTCTTTCTGGTGCATCTCAGTGTTCCATGTCCATTTTATACTTTCCCTGTCCCAATTCTGCTAGATCAGTCATTCCTCCAATGAAACAGCCCTGGTTGTTATTCCCTGAAACCATGATCTTGTTGCCAGCTCATTGCTACAAGAGTATATCCTGGCAGCTTCAAAGCAGAGCTATGCACACATGTATTCTAACCTATGCATATAGACATATCTATTTAAAAAACACTGTATATAGTCATTCGCATGCACATTTACCAACATGAGTTCTTACTGTTGTGTCATACTCTGATGCATCCACCACTCTTACAAGTTTGTCCTTGCTTACCTTTAATATCCCACGTCAAAAGTGCAGTCCTCGGCTCCCGCCACCCACCACAGGGGAACCTCACTGTTCCCCTGCAGCTCGCACATAGCAGGAACAGAACTGCCAGGCTGCACTTCTCTACCACACTCATTTTATCCTTTACCTTGGTTTATTCTCTGCTCTACTCTGCACCACTCAATAAACTTTTATTTTCTACCCTTCTCCTCTATGGCAGGAAGATTTTAACTGTTGGGTCCTCAGTTTTAAACTATTTTACACAAAATAGGTGCTAATCTTTTTTTTAAAGAGCCGAATAATGAGCAAATAAATGAAAAAAAAAAAAGCCTATTAATTAGGCTGAACTAGGCAGGCTTTTCCTAGCTACCACTAGTATGTTGTTTGGCTTTGAGATGCTGTGTTTGCTTCAAAAAAATCATAAACCTGTTATATAATTTATTTTTTAATCAATTCATCTGACTTCTCTCTACAATTGCTACAATTAAGGCACTTAACCATATCAGTGATCATAAACTATCACCTATCCTAACCATTACCTCCATCATTTTCAATCACTACCAGCTGAAATGTCCTATACACAGCTAAACTAGTTTTAAATTTCTAGAAACATTTTTTCTTTTGTTTTGAGGACATGGGTATAGCCCTGCCTGTTCTGTAGACCAGGCTGTCCTGGAACTCAGAGATCTGCCTGCTTCTACCTCCCAAGTGTGCAGACTTTAAAAAGAAAAGTTCTAGCTCTCTAGTGACAAAAAATTTCTGCCTAATCTAGAAACAGAAAGAACATAACCACTATTTTAAGACCAAACAACACAGTTAATAAACAGTTACATTTAAAAATTAAGTGGTTGATTCTAGATTAATCTGTTAAAGGAACTATGAGGAAGACTAAAACAGTGTTTGAGAAGAATGTACAAATTTGTTCTTTTTCTGAGTGTGAAACCCTGAGGTTTAAGAACAAAGACAGTAATAGGAAACATATGGAAAAGATCGGTAACAAAATGGAATCTTGGCTCAAGTGTGGTCTGACACATTTCACATACCAATGTCTTAAATAACAGACTAGATGTTTACAATATTGCCAATGCATCCTTGAAACACTGTACACTTTTCTCAAATCTGAAACAAAAATAAATCCTGTTAGTTCCTTATAAAGTCTAATAGAAAACAGTTTTAAAGAACCAAAAACGAACTTCCCAAGCTTGAAAGAATCTCCTTCCAAAGAACTCAACATTTAATGCCAAGAGACACAGCTAACTCTGTTTAACTATAAAAACATTAGCACAAAAATTTAGCCTTGAGTAAGTAGGCCTGCTAGCTGTAACTCTTAAGGAGGGCTAACTCAGCAAATGGGGAAAGTTGCTAAATCCATACAATAAAATTACTGGGCAGCAGAGGCTTTTCAGTCTATCCCACTTAAAGATAAAATGCACTCTAAAATCATTTTGTGTACTGAGAAAAAAAAAGACAAATTAGGGATATGTTTTCATAGTGCAAGGCATTAACTTCCATAGCCAAGAAATTCATTTCTCTTTTAAAAATTATCAGCAGGCTATTTAAGTGGAAATGTACCTTTAGTCCATGAAACCAATGCAGTCTATTGCATTTTCAAAGTAAACTAGATGTAAAATGCTGTATGTTTCTAATTCTGATTCTTAGCTTCAAAAAGGGAAGCAGTGAAGTTAATACAAGTCTCTGTATCAACCCAAGGACCGGATACAATTCTGAATTCCACCTTAAATTGCTGAGACACTGGGCTACAGGTCACAGTGGACTTTATTCTGAAGAATTCTTTGGCATAAAAATGAAAATGAAAACAGTAATCAGTACATGTTGTTTCATTTAGTCTTGTTTGCCTTTCATATTAGAGGAAATTCTTGCCACACCTCAAACCAAAATTAAGGAGAAAAGAAAGAAGTTAGCCACATAAATCTGACCAAGAGCACAAACATCTTAATTTGAATCCACAAAGTTTTGTATAATGAAAAGAAGTACAAAGTTTTAATTCAGCCCAAGTGGTTTCCAAGCAGATTGTATTTACTTAAATTGCTACAGTAATTCAAAGGACAGTTCTGTCTGAACACAGAGTTACTGTGGATTTTTAAAGAAACTCCGTTAAGGATTTAGGCATTTCTGATTCAGTTAAAGGATTTGCCAATTCATCAATCTCTGAAACTAAAAGCAGTTTCAACAGGTATGGTGATAAAATAATTTTAAACTCTTAAAAAATGTATTCCTATTGTTATAAAAGTATATTGGATTTATTTAATATTAAAATAGACTGCAGCTATCATGAAAGTACAATCTGGGAAAGCAAAATCTGGTAAAAAAAATACATTAAGTTTTTGATTAGGCAAACTGTTCTGGCAAAAAAGATCAGTAAGACGCGTTTAAATTTCTGATTTAAAATTACTCAACAAACAACATTTGTGTAGATTCCCTTTTAAAAATAAATTTCGAAAAAAAGGGAAATATTCTTGGATTAAAGGAACAAATCTCTTTAGTTTCCTGGATCTGCTTCTCTGCTATTAATTTTCAGTGACACAGAACTTGCTAATGCTTTTGAGCCATAAATCTAACTAGTACTGATGAACACAGTGGTAGGAAGGGGTGCATTTGTTGAAGCATTTGTACTGGGCAAATTACCGATCTAGAATGTTGTTTTCGTTTGTATCATTCTCAAAGAAAAGATATGAACATTTTATCGGGTTATTAAAGGCTACTTTTAAAGTTACTTAAGATTTAAATGTATTATGGCTAAAAACTGACACATACTTTTTAAAGGTATTTTTTAATTATATTTTTATATTTCATATTAATTACAGTTTATTCACTTTGTATCCCAGCTGTAGCCCCCATACCTCACCCCCTTCCAATGCCACCCTTTGTCCCTCATCTTGAGACACACTTTTTAATAACAAAATATTTTACAGAACTAAATTTAAAGTTGTCTTAGACAAAACTTGACACACACACACACACACACAAATTATTTTTACATACTGGCTTCTATGGCATACCAATAAAACAATTACATCTTTTAAAATAGCTATGACATTTTTACCTTGAACTTTCTAGAATTAACTAAATTATACCTCAGTTTTATTAATTTATATTAGGACCTACATTGGTTTAAAATATGAGTGTTTTTATTTCAAGTAAAAGAAATGTTATGTTAAAGTTACTCTTACTGTATTATATGCAAAATCCACATTAATGGATTTCTTAATATTTATATTGCTGCTTTGCTTTACATTTTCTTCACCTGACATTTTTCTAATAGACAATGTAATATAAGTGAGAAATATTACATATTGCTATAGAGAAATAAATACAAAAGATAGTCATCAAGTTCTCTAACTCTTATCTAAAGAAACCACCATGGTGAAATGCCTAGAACGCAACACAACAGAGAGAAGCGTTGCTAACAAAATATAACGTGTGACTTATTCAGTCAGTCATCCCGCAGATTTGTGACTACTCAAAATGAGTGCACTGCTTAGAAAACGGCTAAGAAGTGACTCATTGGGTAAAACGAAGTAAAATCATTAACAGGGAAAAGTATCACAGCGGAAGAAAGGAAGACTAGTAAATGCCAGGATTTCAGATGAAAATCTCCAGAGAAAGCCTTCTGAAGTGTTTACAAAAAGACCAGAAGGAGAGACCACATGAAGAATCTTTTTATATTCGGAGGTTTGTTTGAGGTTTTCATCCTAAAATAAGCTGCCATGAAGTATCAGATCATCCTTTTTTTTTTTTTTTTTTTTTTCTGATTTCTTAAAGTGCTGAGCAACAGATTCTAATTCTAAAACAAAAGGTTGCTTGTTGATGACTGCTAATGGTCTTAACACAAGGACAAAATTCAGATGGAGTGGATGCTCTTGAGCAAGTAAGTGTGAGCAAACTTTTGAGCCCTCTGTGGCCTGGTCCAATGCCACAGGCTAGCTTTGCTTCTCCGCTTTCAGTGCAGATTTTGGGAAAACAGCCTCATAGAAGCTAACTCTAGTGGCTGTATTGGAACTGAAACAAAGTAGGAAAAATGCTTTTAAAAGTTACAATAGCAAGTATAATACAATCCTAAAATTTTCAAGAAAAATGTCATCAGCAAGAGAGTAAAATGTGTAAGATTTTCTAAACTCATTTCTCTTAAAGTGCCAAAGTCTGGTTTAGATGTCTATAAAAGACCTCCTTGTTGCTCCCATTTAGTTATGGTTCAATTTGTAGAGTTGGTCTCTTCCTCTAAACTGTTTGCTCTTTATAGAGGAGTCCATGTCTTCATTTTTTTTTCTTTATTTCTGTTTTCCTTAACTTAGCACATTGTCTCACAGATAGAAATGCTTTTTTTTTAATGTAACATTAAATAATCTAACTAACTACTAATATTTATAAAATGTTGCACTACGCACAAACATACAGTATCTAGTTGACTAACAGCAGCAAGAAAATGACTACCCCAAAGCAGACTCACAGGGCGGTTCCAGCCTAAAGCAGAGCCCTTGCTTACTCTGAACATGTCCATTGGGATGAAAGCATAACTCATTCATTCCACTTCCTCTCAAGATTCTACTAGGAACACTGCAGTATGAAGGTCACAGCACAAATACACTACCTCACTATATTAGGAATTCATTACCAGAATGCAAATTCCTTAGGAATTTAGAATCTCAGATTCTGGCTCATTGAACATTTATCATTTCTAGGCATTTTACACTTCTTGCTTCTATTCTGTTAATCAGCTCTTTACTTGAAAACAGATTTCCTTACCTCATTCGTACAGAATACTAACGTTTTTCAAAGCAGAGTTCATATGTCATATGCTTCATGAATTATACAGTAAAGAAAGAAGAACTGATGCAATCACTCAGATTTGATTCACTTAAAAAAACTGTCACATATAGCCAGCCAATGGTGGTGCATGCCTTTAATGCCAGTACTCAGGAGGCAGAGGCAGGAATATCTCTTGAGTTTGAGGCCAGCTTGCTCTACATAGCAAGTTTAAGGACAGCCAGGGCTACACAAAGAAACCCTGTCTCCAAAAGCAAACAAACAAACCCACCACCACCACAAAACAACAACAACAAATATCACATATCACTGAAGAGAGCAAACATTTTGATTTGGTACTTTTTTATAGATAAGGATAAATATAATGTACTAGTAAAAATAATTATTTAATACTTTTTTAAAAGATCATCATCCAAAAGGAATGATGGGAAATGTTTTACGCCTTGAGAAAAGAAAAACAAAACAAAACAACAACAACAAAAAACCTAGTAGTCTTGGAAAGAGGGAAAGGGGGCAGATTAAGAAAATGCAGCCATGCCATATTTGAGGTTGTAGCCATATTTGAGAATGAGCCCAGTCAGCCTGGTTCCGTTTTTCATTCTTCGTATTTAGTTGTATAAGTCAGAATGAGAGTAGGGAGAAAACTGTCATTTGCCAGATGTAAAGAACTCAGAAAATTCAGGAAATGCACAAAGGAGTATTGAGAACAATGAACTGTAGCATCCCAGGCAGAGGGAACTTAGACTGTAAGGAAGTATGGATTGAGGCAGTGAAAAACAAGTAACATCAGCATACATTAGACTCCTCTGAACGTCAGGAGCTATTTGTAGTTAGAGGTATTACCTGAAGATATGGTCAGAGTATGGGATGTTCAAAGTTCAGAATATGACCACTGTTAATTAGCAGACCAAAGATATCAGTACATAGAGAATTGAGACAAAATCGTGGGAGAAAAAGGAGCAAAAGGAATTCTGTCAGAGAAATGACTGATGTAACTATTTTCTCAGATATACCAATGCTGGAAAACAGGGGTAGCATTCTAGAGGAATAAAATGTTGATTATCTCATTAATTCACAGTGATGTTAGGTTATTTGTTCATTTTCTCATAAAACCCTTGATGAGAAGGGTGGAGAGAAAAAGGTATCAGAAAAAAAATGAAAAAGATACACGTAAATTATTTTTTTCCCAGCCAGTCGTGGTGGCGCATACGTTTAATCTCGGCACTCAGAAGGCAGAGACAGCCTGCTACAAAGTTGAGTCCAGGACAGCCAGGTTCTGTGACACAGAGAAAGCCTGTCTTGGGGGAGAGGGGGGGAAACATTATTTTCCTAAATAATGCTCATTTCAAGTAGACAACAGTTTTCAGCTTGCTGAGAACTTTTACATAAGTATCTCATGTGACTGTAACCCAGGAGGCTGAGGCAGTAAAGACCAAAAGGAGTTGGAGATCATCCTAGTAGCACAGTGAGAATCTGTCTAAAAAATAAAGTGGGAGTTTATCTTGTAGGTGACATGAGCAGCAAGACTAAGACAAGACCCAAGATAAGCAGGTAAGACAAAAGAGGCAAGTATGGGCTGAGACACAGCCCATCAACAAAATCCTTACTTCCCTTGCAAGCAGGAGGATCCGAGCTCTTAGTTGGTTCCATAGAACCCATGTTCTAAAGAAATAAAACAAAACCAGGTGTGGTAACCACACTTGTAATCCTAACACCTGGCAGGCAGAGATGGGTAGTTCCTGTGGCTCACTGGCCAGTTGGCTATTTGCCAGCCTCCATAGTGCAAGACTTTTATCTAAACAACTAAAAGGTAGATGATGCCTGATGCCTAAGTTGTCCTCTGGATTTCACGTGGACACACACACACACACACACACACGGCAAATCATAATTTAAGTATAGTTACAAATTTTATTCTTTTTCAAAAGGTATCTTACTGTATGACTATTGGTCTCCAACTCTTGAGCTCAAACCATCTGCCCCCAGAGCAGGTGGGATGACAGGCACCTGCACATGCCCAGCAACTGTGATTCTTATTTTCTTAATAAATAAACCAAGAGGCATAATTGTCAAACGGCAAAAATGAAATTAAAGATTTCAGGCTCCTTCAGGCCCCTTTTTCAAGTTTCAGCAGAAGTGTTAATTATCTCTAAATCCTTCCCCTTACAATCACTACAACATCTTTCAGCTGTATGCCTCTAATCCTCCATTAGGTTTCAGACTCTTAGGAGATAAGGATTGTGGCATTTTAATATTTATAATCCAGACCTTAACTGAAAAAAATTATTCAAAGCCAGGCACGGTAATGCTCCATGCACCTGAATTATTTAAAGTGCCTGAAAAGAAGAGGCAAGAGGATATCTTGAGTGTATGGTCAGGCTCACCTAAATAGCAAGCTTGAGGCTAACCTGGGCTCTATGAAACCCTGTTTCAGGAAGGAAGAATAGAAGGAAGAAAAAAGGAGGGAGGGAATGGAGAAAGGGAAGGAAGAGAGAGGAAGACAAGGAAAGGGGGGAAGGAGAGAAAGACAGAGAGAGAGAGAGAGAGAGAGAGAGAGAGAGAGAGAGACCGTGAAAAGGAAGAAAACACGAAAACATGAAGAGAAACTGAAACTTTGAAGGATATAAATATTGTGTGTACTTGAAATTTAAGAAATTGTTCCAAGAAGAAACCTTGAAGATGTAGACAGGCTAAGGCAGGAAACAAACAAACCTGTTAGTTACCATATAAAAAAAGAATGTTCTTTTGAAGAACAACTAAAGGATTTAACAACAGAAGTAGTAGGAAGCAAGATTTTGGTTTAATGAAAGTTTAACAGTTCACATAGGTAGCAAGCATCACTAACAGATGAAATGGTTGGCAAGAGTGCCCAGCACTTAGAGTGGAGGAAGTACTAAAGTGTGGCTGGGTGATGTCACACCATCATTAGACAGCTACAGTCTGTATCTACGGACAACAGATTCTTTTAGAAGATACTGATTACATAGAGTGTTGTGCTTCACACATGTAATCTCAGCACTTGGGAGGCAGACAGAAGGATTGCCTGTAATTGAAGTGGCTTTCATAGCCATTAAGGGAAACAAAGGGAATCTGCTCTATAAAAAACAAATGTACACAAATAAAAGATAGTGACTATTTAGCAAAAAGTCCAAAACAGCATACTTCTGACTCCTGCTCAATGCAACATGTAACTTTAAATTTCACAGTGATTTAAACATTAAATTAAAAAAATTAAATTTTGATTTAAGCTTTGCCCAGGCATCCTGAATATTTTGTTATATACAGGCACCAGCATAATAAAATTTATATGTGTCAATTTCTATGAGAATTGTTCTGAGTATTAATCACTTTTCTCTTTGCAACAGGGAAAAAAAGAACATGGGCTTTTTAAGTCCAATATATGTCCTTTTCTTCTTCTTTGGAGTTAGAGTATATTGCCAATATGAAGTTTACCAATGGGGTGAAGATTATGACCAAGAGCCAAATGAGGATTATGAGCCAGAATTCCAATTTCATCAAAATATTGAATATGGAGTTCCCTTTTATCCAAATGTTTTAGGCTGTGCTAAGGAATGCTTCTGTCCAACTAACTTTCCCACATCAATGTACTGTGATAACCGTAAACTCAAGACTATCCCAAATATTCCAATGCACATTCAGCAACTCTACCTTCAGTTCAATGACATTGAGGCTGTGACTGCAAATGCATTTATTAATGCAACTCATCTTAAAGAAATTAACCTCAGCCACAACAAAATTAAATCTCAAAAGATTGATTATGGTGTGTTTGCTAAACTTTCAGAACTACAACAACTTCATCTAGAGCACAACAACTTAGAAGAATTTCCATTTCCTCTTCCAAAGTCTCTGGAAAGACTCCTTCTTGGTTATAATGAAATCTCTACACTTCAAACAAATGCCATAGATGGGCTGGTAAACTTGACTATGCTTGATCTCTGCTACAATCACCTTTCTGATTTGATGTTAAAGGAAAACAACCTTTTCAAAATGGAAAAGTTAATGCAGCTCAACCTATGTAATAACAGATTAGAATCAATGCCCCCTGCATTGCCTTCTTCACTTATGTATCTATCTTTAGAAAATAATTCAATTTCATCTATACCAGAGAATTATTTTGACAAACTTCCAAAACTTCACGCTCTAAGAATATCACACAACAAGCTGAAAGACATCCCATATAATATCTTTAATCTTTCCAATCTTATAGAACTCAACGTTGGACACAATAAATTGAAGCAAGCATTCTACATTCCAAGAAATCTGGAACATCTATACCTACAAAATAATGAAATAGAAAGTATGTAAAATTAGTACTTTTAAAGAACAAAAGAGTGGTATTTTGACTGATTGATTGATTTTGTGTGTGTGTGTGTGTGTGTGTGTGTGTGTGTGTGTGTGTGTGTGT